TTACTGCGGTGCTTCTCGGATCAGATTGTCTCGTCTGACTCGTCGACGTTATCTACTCCTTTACTCGCCCTTGTTTCTCCTTCGTTCAATCGCTGCCATTGTCTGCTATGTTCAATCGCAGAATCCTCTCCTTTGTTCAATCACTAGCATCACCTAGGTCACACCAGTGTCGTTGATTCAATGCTTGGGGAGAAGCTCTGTAACAGCTATGAATGGCGATGAGAATGGCGACAGCGACCTAAGAGATCCCTAATCGGTGGCAATGAGAATGGGTTTTGAAGTGGGTGGATTGGGTGGGTCATGTGGGTTGGGGTCAGAATTGCCAGTGTCGACCTGTTCATGGGCCAGGTGCCTCGACGGGCCGGCCCGGCCCCCGGATGGGCTTGAACACGCAAATGAGCCCGCGGGCTTGACCTCGGGCCAAATGCTCGGCCTACAATAAATTCGAGCCGGGCTCGAGAGTTTCCAAAATAGCCCGGCCCGACCCGACCCGACCCATAGACTAAACCCAAAAACCCTAATATCCTAACCCTTTTCATTCATCTCTTTCCACATTTCCTGTTAGTCGAACTGCCTAGTGTCGAACCTCTCTTCTCTTCACATCCTCCTCACACTCTCAAGCAGTCGTAGAATCGACGAACATTCACCGGTGCAACAACTCCAGTAGACTGGCAGTGAGTCTTCTCTCTCTCTCTCTCTCTCTCATTCTCTCTTGTTCCTCTTCTCACTTCTTCTCTTTCAAATCTCAAACACTGGCGGGGCGGCGAACACAGGCACCAACGGCGACGGCGATGAGTCCTCTCTCTCTCTCTCTCTCTCTCTCACAGACGCAAACTCAGCACCGGCGAACACAGTCACCGATAGTGAGTTCTTTCTTCTGTTAGGTCGGGCTTCAGGCTTTTTATTAGGGCCAGGCTCAGGCCCATGTTATAGGCCCGTTGGTCGGGCCGGGCTCAGGCTCAGCCCTAACAAAATCATGTTTATGAAGAGTAAAAGCTCGGCCTAGCCCGGCCCATGAATAGGTCAAAATTGCCAGTCCTAGTTGTCATTTGGTAAGTTTTTTTTTTAAAGATCTTCTGGCAAATGTGACATTCAAAAGGCGATGTAAGCTTTTGCATTAAGAATGAAAAAAAAGTCAAAAAAATTGATTTGAAGCTTCTTGAAAATAACCCAAAAGGTTAATGTTCGTTTTTCAGAATGACATCTTTTGATGATAAGATATTTTTTCAACCAAATGGAAAAAGATGAAAACGCATAAAAGACTTTTAAACAATAGACGGCCTACACAGAAAAACATGCCAAACGGAGAAAATATGCTTCATGGTTTTTAAAAACGAACTAGTGATCGAATTGGTCAGGGGTCCGGTTATCGGTTCGAACGGGTGGCCCGTTCTAACAAAAAATTAAAAAATTAAAAAATTAGAAAACGGTCAAAACCGTTCGAACAATTAACTAGCCGATTCAGCGATTTGCTGACCAAAATCAACGATTTTAAGAGAAAAAGCAGTTTTTCCAATCTAACCATCCGGTCCGGTCCGGTCCGATTTTGAAAACAGTGATATGCTTCCAAGCAAATCTCGTTTTCGTCATTTTGATAACTTTTATCTCTCAGCCCATTAAATCTTCAATGATACAATTTGGCAATTTTACTTTGATGGGGGATAAAATGCTGAATTCCAGAATTTTCGGGGAGCTATTCGTTATTAATTGTTATAATGAATAACAATTTAAGAAAATAATAATCTCTAACCAGATCCTACCTTTATATCAGCTGTATACCGCACACGATATCAATGGTATTTCCAAATTCCAATTATCAACAATACAAGATTTTTATTTATTTTTAATTATAAAATAGTTTTATTTTGCTGACATGGCAAGGTATGTTGGGCTCGTTCCATGAATGTAGTAGTAGAGTTGAATTGGAGAAAGAATAAATACAGGGCTTGGGGAGCAACAACAGTAGCAGCCTTTTTGGACTCTAAACTAGCTTATTGGTGGAATATTCTCAAGTGCCCATTTGCTTTCACATGGTGGATTGGCTTTGTATAGTGGGCCCCATCTGATTAATGGAAAAAGGCTTTTTAGAAATACTTATGCAATAAAAGTATTTATTTCTCAAACCACTTATTCATCAAATATAGCCTAAGTCTGGATATGGCAGGAACAAGTATTGGGTGAATTCACTATGTGCTCGTTAGATTTTTTGACACTTATCCTATAAATACCTCCCGTCTACCCTTAAAATGATTAAAAGCAAATTTCTAAGACAACAATTAGAATATTTATTGAATGCTTACTTAGTTCACAAGGGTTTGTGCCCCTACTCATTTAGGCCTTGTTCATTTTACGGATTTTGAAAGGGGGGAAAGTCGGTCAATGGGATTTTGATTCCTATTGACCAATTCTCCCATGTTTTTTTTTTCAAGATTTAGGTAGGACTTACAGTAAATACTTTCCCTTGGGTATCATTTATCCGGGAAAGTGTTTCTCAAGTGGAGAGTAAATGCTCAAAATATAATATGTCAAAAATGCCAATTAAAAAATATAATTCAAAAAGCATGGACCTGAACCCAAGGGTAAAAATGAAAAAACATAGAAAAATTAACCACTTACTTGGGAAAGTGGGTGAGACAAAAAAACATGAGGAAGTTGAAAAGTCTCATTTACTCAGATAAATTTAACAAAAAATAATATGGATAAATACGCTTACCCCAGGTAAATGTTTACTGAGAAACACTTACACGGGTAAATGGCCTCTTTCTAAATGAACAAAGCCTTGGGGCTTCGCCAAAGTTGGATTGGCAAGAAACTGTTCCCCATCATTTTCATCTTTTGAAATGGAATTTGTGAAATACATGAACAATTCTTACCATCAAAACTCCCAAATGAGCCCTAATTCATCTAGGGCTTCGCCAAAGCTGGACTATCAGAAATGTTCCCCATATTTTTAATATTTAAAATTCATTTTTCAAAATTTTAAATAGAATCGTAAAATACATGAACAATTCTCAGCATCAAAACTTGGGTTAAATCTTTTACCATTTCTTTTTTGCAAAACCCAAAATATTATAGACTAGCCTAGTCGATCTAATTACTCAAATTGGATCCCAAAATTTAGACCTGAATGAGTTGATGAGTTTTGTCAAATAAAACAAATTACTAAATCTCTTACTTCTATGTAAAAATATTTATATTAAATGATACCATTTTTTCCCTTGTTTCTCCTAGAAGTTGTATGTGGCAGTTGAATCCTATTTTCTCCTTACATTCTTTTATTTTTTTGTTAAACTAATTTTTTCTTTTTTTTAATAATTTCTAATTCCACTCAATCTAACCCAATGAGAATCTAATTTAGTCCACTTCTTGAGAGTTTGGAATAAACCATCAAACTAGGCACTTCTAAAATTAGAAAGCTTACAGGAATTTCATCAAGATTCTATTACTTACACCAATAAAAAAGTAATTAAATCATAATGCACAATATAAAAGCCTCCCTTAAAAGTTTTTGACAATCATAATAAGTTAATAACCTCGCCTGAGGTTTCACTTAACAAAAATCTCCCCTATAGTTTCACAAAAGCCTGTAGTTACCCCCTCCATCTTTGTCCCAATAATGGAACCTCAAAGTTACAAAACTACCCTTACAGCTTATTAGGACATCTTTAATATAATTCAAAATGCCAGATTTGTTTTCTAGACTTCACTAAACCTAAAAATTTTATAAAGTAAAATTATTTTATCCTTTTCAATCTAATTTAAGGATTTTTTTAATTAAATGTTAAAAACTGTTTTGGGGGTATTTTAATAAATTTCTATTTGAATTGATAAATATAATAGTAAAATGAGGACATTGAAAAAGTAATGCATTTGGCCAACATTTTCCTTCCAAGACAATAACAAAAGAGATGTAATTGCATGTTTTTTCAGTACTGTAGGGAAGGGTATTGTGAAAATGAAACCTCAAAGGAGGTTTTTATAATTGTTAGAAACCTCAGGAAAAGTTTTTATATTTTATCCTAAATCATGTTTGGCTGTTAACAAGAATATTATTTCAGACCAATTCATGTGACCCACTTAGCATGTCTTAAAATAACAATACATAAAGCACATTAGCACTACTTGTTTCACATTTATTATTCCCCCACGACATTAACTCATATGTGTTAGACCTGTCAATGAGTGATGCTTTGTTCGGGATAGGAGATGCATCAGTCAGTCCTGAATCCATTAATGGGTTCTATAAGATAGGCTTAGAAAGGAACCAACCGATTATTAACAGGAATAATTGGGTCTGACCCGATTATACTTAGATAATAATAACTTGAAATTAGGGAGAATGACCGATGAGTCTAGGGTCAGAATTTGTAGGTTTAAAATATTGTCAGGATAGGTATTAGGTCGGAATTGATGCTAATTCATAGGCGGGCGTTGGTGCATAAAATGTAAGTTCTTAACCTTTTGAGCGTTTATAACTCTGCAGTGGAAATCAGAAATTTGCATTAGACAAGTCCGTACTTCTCTGCTTGAAATTATCAAGTTTGATAATATAATTAATTTTAATAAAAACGTTAATAAATCATTAAATTATTTATATATATTGATAAAACAAGTATTATTGACTAGGATTATTTTATATACTGTTTATCAAATTATTAAATGGGCCTTTTAACTTTAATTGGTTTAGAAAAGCAGTAACCGGTCCGACCCAATTATTCATCGGGACAAAACCACGTCAGTGGAGCTGACGTAAGGGTCCATGATTGACAGCTCTGAGAAAGGAGGGTGAGGATGCTATGGTCATTTCATACTCTTAATGCCAGCTGCTATCTACATTCACATGTCAGTAGTCATCTGACACATTGTTTACATCTATTTGTAAATTGTTACCATCATCAAGGGCATTTTGGTCTCGAAAGTAACCCAAAAAGAAAAAAATTCCACGAGTCTCCATAGATTTGTGGGACAGCCGGGGTGAATCCTCGACTTTTACTCAACAAAGCATCATAACTTCACACCCACCATAACCCCCTAAAAATGCACTTCCCTTTCCATTTTCCACATCTCTCCTCCACTTCTTCCACCTCCCAGCCTTTCTCCTGACTCTTCCTATTCCTCTGCTGCTGCTGCTGTTGCTTCATTCATCTGTTCCATCTCCTCTGCTTATCTCTCTCCCTCCTCCACCCATGTTCCCCTCTCCGAATAGGCCTCTAGGTCCCCCTAGCAATCTGACCCGCTACGGCTCAGCTCCCGGCTCCCTCATCACCAGCGTCGTCAATTCTGTCGTCGGCGGGTCCGAGCAAGAATTCTCCGCTGCCGTCGGATCCGAGACTCTCATGGGTCGTTACTTCTCCGGCGATTCTTCCTCTCTTACAACCGAGTCCAGCTGCAAAGCCAACAACGTCGCCTCTGAGACCAAGGATGCTGCCTATCGGAGTGAACGTGCTGCCACCAGCTCCGGTCTTGAGAGATCTTATGGTTTGAACGAGATTGCCGTCGGGGACTTGGCAGCCGTTAGTAATTTGAGAGCCAGTGGATCTTCGCCGTTGATTCGCCATAGCAGCTCTCCCGCCGGGTTCCTCAATCATCTGATGGCGGACAATGGTTAGTTCTTTTCTTTTATTTTTTCTTCTCTTCTTTTCAATTTTCATTTCTCTTAAACTAATCAATCTTCTCGATGTGGTTGGTTTTTGCAATTTTCCTTTCTGTTTCTCTTCCTTCTCCGTTTCGATTGGCCTCTTCTGCCTGCAAAAGTCTTGCCTTTTGCTCAACTATTCCGCTCTTGGCTTTGATGAGTATCGTATCCGAAACGAAACGATACTTGTCGCAGACCGACCCTGGTTTAGTGGTTTGACGAAACCTCTAAGAATGGTTGAAACTGGGTTTGAGCCTGGCCTCCACAAAAGATATTAGACATGTATGAACAAATGAATTGACTAAAAACGTCTTCTTCAATTGTATATTTTATTACTATTTTTAGGCTTGGATGGTTGGATGTTTATCGTTCCATTACGGGTCCCACTCTCTCCCCTCCCCTTGTTCGTCATCTTTTATGGGCCCCACATGGATACGCTGAACAAGGCTTCGAGTGAGTGGCCACGTGTATAGTGGGTAGATAAGGGCTCATGGAGGATCTGGACCCACATTTTGGAGGTCTCAAGAATGTGGAAAATTTGAGGATTTGAGATTGAGATAAATGGGTAAATTCCCTTTTTTTTTGTCCAAGGATAAATTCCTTGCTTGAGATGGTTGTGGATTTGATTTCCACAGTATGCCCCTGGCTCCTGGGGAGATGTATCTCTAGAGTTTGGTCCACCACCATTATCAAAACTCCCACTGTCCCACATAGTTAAATGATTAGTCCAATACTTTTTTATAATTATTACATATTTTGTATGAGGGCTTTTGTTATAATTTGTGTTTTAGTAAAAATAATTGATGGAAAACAAACTTAGGAGTGCCGATTCAATGTATGGGTCGACATCTTATTATATTTTATTTTTGGGTTTGGTCAATGAGGTATTGATGTTGATGTGGTATCTAACATTAATACTATTTTTTTCCTTTTACTTTTTTATAAGTTACTTGTATTTATTTATTTATTTTATGAAAAAGACTCTGTTTTAAATCATCTTTGAATAGAGATTTCAATCACTGTTTCAGGAGAAATTAGTTCAGCGAATGGGTGCCAGAAGTGACAAGACCCAATTTTTATATGCTGAGGTGGCAAACCTAATTTAGGTGGTGGATGTAGAACCCAAGGGGATGTGTCTGGTGTGAAATCTACTAGGACTAGGAGTTTTGCAGCTGTTCTATTAATATTTGCTTATTTTTCATTGGGTAAATAAGTTACTAATAAGAGGAGGGTGAAGGTCTGATTTGATTAAGCCCAAGGCCTATGAGACTTCATACCCTTCATAGAACCTTTTTTGAGCCTCTTGGGATGCGCTTGTTTAGATGGAAAAGAGATAGAAAACAAAGTTTTAATTGTAAAAGGAGCAACAAGAAGAAGAATGCTGATGCTGTCCGATCCGAGGTGTTCCGAATCGAGGACATAATCAGATAGTCCTGTCAGCTAGATGAGACCGAGGTGGAAGGATGAAGCCACGCATCGAAATCTGCAACCAGGAGAAAAGTCAGAGGCCCGAGGAGTTGCTCCCCGGGTAGTACTTCGACCTTCAAGTCAGTAGGATCGAGAAGGATGTGGTCGGGCTGACTAGGTTGAAATAGAGCTGGTCTGGGCCGAAGAGATAGTGCAAAGTGGTATTCAAAGAGCACAGTTCCAAAAGTCCCTTACCTCGAGCAGGGAATACCTATTTACAGTTGGGTGCCCGTGTCCCAAATGGATAGGGCTCCTGGGGTTGTCGAGATGAGGGCATCCGTCGAGGTCTTCAGGAGGTTTCCTTTCCCCAGTGGAGTTCGCTTCCTTGTCCGTGTGGGACACTCTTTCTTAGTCGTGCTCTTTTGTTATGCGCGGCGTCAACGTGGCCTGAGAGGGGAGCGGCCACGAAGATAGATACGTGGCATCTTTGGCCAGTTCAACCATCACTCGAACAATTGCTACTAGTAAACAATTCTTCTCTCTCTATATATTGTGACAAATATGACCTAAAACACTACATGACAAAGTATGGACATATCTTTTCATGGACTTTTTTTTTTTGGGGGGGGGGGCGTAAAAGATCAATCTTCTCATGGATTCCCAAGCAACTTGCTTAAGGAGTGATGCTTGGTCCTTTCCAGTATTAAAGGCTTTGAGGAGATGCATGGAATAAAGCTGCAAGATTTAAATTTTCCTCAGGAAATACGATACAGTTCTGTAGTTTTAGAGCTAGATGAGTCAAGTGTTGAGACTTGATTAAGAACCTGAGCCTGGTTTGGAACAACCCAACTCATTGAGTCATATGAATCAAAGTGGGAAACCCCAGCTAGACCTGTTCATGGGCCTGGCCCGAAGCCCGAGCCTGACAGTGTAAACTTGGGCCCAAAGCCCATCCCGTGAACAGGTCTAACCCCAGCTGACTGAACTGAGTCTACTCAAGCTGAAAAGGTTCTTTGTCGATGCAATTATTGAGTTTAAACATTCATTATAACCATCCTGTTTTTTTTTTTTTTTTTTTTTTTTTCAATATGAGAAACTTTAAGTTTAACCTGGATGACATATTATATGTAACTAGTGTTTTAAAAGGTGTGGGAGGCGTACGCCTGGAGGCACGCCCTGAGGCATATGCTAGAGGCATTGACACCTCTGAGGTGTACGCCTCATGCGCCTCATGCACATCTGATATAAAAAGACAGAAAAAAAAGAAAAAAGAAAAAAAAGGAAAGGAAAGGAAAGGAAAAGAAAGAGAAGGGAAAGAAAAAGAAAGAGAAGAAAAAAAGAGAAAAAGGAAGGAAAAGGGAAGGGAAGAAAAGATAAGGGGAAAGAAGGTGGTTTGACAAGACCCCCCCTTTCAACTAATGTTATGCATCTTTATTCTTCTTAATATAAAAGATTTTTATTAAAAATAAAGAAAAAATGAGATCCCCCCTTCCTCTTCATCCTCCTCCTAACCCCCCTCCTCTTAATGAGATCCCCTTTCTTAATATGAGAATGCCTCTTGCGTTCTGAACTACGCCTCACACCTCTAGGTAGTGGAACGCCTCGCGTCACGCCTTTGCGTTTTAAAACATTGTATGTAACTAGATGAGAATTGAGATGTAAATCACAATAGTAGGAGAAAAAAAGAAAAAGGATAAAATTGAAATACTGTTCACCATCCCCAGTGAATCACATCCAATGTTATTGATGTGGAAGGCAAATGACTGGTTGATAAAAAGACTTGTTCTAAATTTAAGATATCAGTACAATCCAATGTTTTAAAACGTAGAGGCGTGAAGCGTACTTCAGAACGCAAGAGGCATAAGCCTCCAAAACACTAGGAGGCTTACGCCTCCTTAAGAGGAGGGGGGTTAGGAGGAGGATGAAGAGGAAAGGGGGATCTCATTTTTTCTTTATTTTTAATAAAAATATTTTATATTAAGAAGAACAAAGATGCATAACATTAGTTGACGCTTGGTCATCCTAACTAGACCTGTTCATGGGCCGGCCCGGCCCCCGGACGGTCTTGAACACGCAAATGAGACCGCGGGCTTAACCCCGGGCCAAAAAGCCCGGCTTGCAATAAATTCGAGCCGGGCTCGGGATTTGCCAAAATAGCCCAGCCCGAGCTATAGATTAAAGTTAAAAAACCCTAGTCGAACCCCTCTTTCTTTCCCTCTTTCCAGTCGAACCTCTCTTCTCTTCAGTCTTCACATCCTCCTCAGTCCTCAGTCCTCAATCCTCACACTCTCAGGCAGCCACACAACCGGCGAGGCTGCGAACGTTCACCGGCGCAACAACTCCAGCAATGAGTCCTCTCCTTCTCTTTCTCTCTCTCTCTCTCTCTCTCTCTTTCTCTCTTTCTCTCTCTCTCTCGTTCCTCTTCTCACTTCTCTTTCAAATCTCAAACACCGGCGACAGCGAGGCAGCGAATATAGGCACCAAGGGCGGTGAGTTCTCTCTCTCTCTCTCTCTCTCTCTCTCTCTCTGACGCGAACTGATCATGTTAAAATCGCAGCTCACAGTCACCGTGAACTCAGATCCGGCGAACACAGTCACTGGCGGTGAATAGGGAAAAATTCCAATTTTTTTATTAGGTCGGGCTTCGGGCTTTTTATCAGGGCCGGGCTCGGGCCCAAGTTGTAGGCCCGTTGGTCGGGCCGGGCTCGGGCTCAGGCCTAACAAATTTCTATTCATGAAGAGTAAAAGCCCAGCCCGAGCCCGGCCCGGCCCGACCCATGAACAGGTCTAATCCTAAGTGAACTGCATCATGAATATTAATCAGTTAGTTGGTAATGCAATTGTCTAGCTCTCCAACTAGTCATTTGACTAATCCATGCTTTGAAAAAGTTGATTACATTATTTTTTGGTAAGGTAATTAGAAAATTACAATGAAATGCATCATTGCCCTTATGATACATCATACACATAGATGTGGTATATAGTGACATTTTAGATGGGTCCAATATCTGCCAATCCAATTTTCAAGTTCACAATATTCTAGATGTGAAGTATAATATGCATTTGTGGAGGGTACAATAGTACATACCTTGGTAGGAGAGAGAGGGGAGGGGGCTGATGGTGTACCTATATGCTTGTAGGTGTAAAAATTAGAGGGATATTGACATATGAGAAAAACTGGTGAAAAAGGAATATCATCTTTATTTTTTCCTGATTTTTCTCATATTTTTGAAGAAAATGAATCTCATCTATTGATAAGCTGTCTACAGAGGTGAGGAGTGAGGACAAGTTATAAGTGGATCCAAGATCTGCTAATGGGCTGGTAGATGGGTTAGCAAGACAAGGAGTAAAGATGCAGATACGGAAGCAAGGAAAGAATCCATGGGGAAATACATCAGAGTTTTTTTTTTTTTTTTTTTATCAGTAACTGAAACTATGTTAATGAGAAAAACAGATATAATAAAGTACATGGGGAGAGGTAAACACTCTTAACGTGACCACAGAGCTCTCAGTCGCTTAGGCGACTAGGCGGGTGCCTAGGCGATCGAATTTTAAAGTATAAAATATATATCCCTACTCCTCTTAAGCTACATTATTGGTTTTTTATTCTAACAAACATACCTGTATGCTAGCTATTAGCAATAAAATCATTCGAAGAAAACATAAAATGCCATAGCTAGCATCCAGGCCAAAAAAAATGGGGGATTGCAGATAAGAAAAGAGTGAAAAATAAGGGGGCGGAGCCCCTGTTTCGTTCACAACATAAGTTGTTCAAGAGGACGATGTGGACTGTGTTTAAGGGGGTGGAGACCCTGTTTCAGGCTAAAAAAATGGAGGATTGTTAAGAAGAAGAAGAAGAAGAAGAAGGAGGAGGAGGAGGAGGAGGAGGAGGAGCCCCTGTTTCATCCCAAAAGAAGAAGAAGAAGAATGTACCAAGAGAATTACTTTAATAAAAAAGATAAAACAAACCAATAAAAATGATATAATACATATGCACATTCAAAAAAATAGTATAGCATATATGTGTGTGAGCGCCTAATACAAAAACACCTAAGCGTTGGTAAAGGCGACTTCTAAAAAATCGCCCAGTCGCCTAGGCGGGCACCTAGGCATCGCCTTGACAACTATTTGCAACAAAGCCCAAAATAGGCCTTCTCTTCCAGCCCTTGTTTTGCAAGTGTATCTGCAAAGGAATTGGCAGTCCTTTTTACCCACAGTAGATTTATCTCCATGTCCCTGGTCAACCATCTATACTTCTTTTTTTTATTAGCAAATTTTCATATCTCATTCTCCTCTTCCTTTAGCAGCCAGCCTATCAGTTATCCAATTCCTATCGCCTATGCCGATTTTAGAATTTTTAGGTGATAGTATTCTTTGAAATTGTGTTTTAAATTTCAAGTTTTTATTTTCTAGTTCTAGTTTTTCTAAGAATAGTGTTTTAAATTTTTCTAGAAATTTACTATTTTTTGGTAATTACTACTTATGTTAACTTTTCAATTCACGATTACAATCATCCCTTGAACTCATTTTTTATGGTAATTTCTATAATTACATACTATTAATAGTAATGATTTTACATTAACTTGGTTTTAGTAGTTCTTTGGGAGTAAAAATCCTTTTCTAAGGGTCCCTATGGAGTCTGTAAAGGAGCATCTGAGTCGATATGTTGAGTGTGTATAGAGTCATTGTAATTGCAATTTAAGAAGAGTTGATATGATGACATGAAGTTTAGTTTAGTGAAGTCTGGTTGTTGCGAAGAAATTTTCTCTTTCCACCCTCTCTCACCTTTTCTTCTAATTGATATATCTCTTTGCAGTTTACCCTAACAGCAAGAGTCTTCTCTCTCTTTCTAATTTATTGATCATTCTTTGGTATACAGCAAGCTGTCTACTTGCTTTTCCATCCCTATTCTTCATCCTTAATCATCCAAACTCCCTTCTTCACCCCACAAGGCTCATCACCAGATCTGAAATTTGTAGGACCCATACCTTGTCCTACAATACATCAAGTAAACAGAAATTAGTTGTATCGAACGTCCACTTTAAAGTGTGAGTGGGGTGTCTACTGGCTAGTATGGACTAAGCCAACATGTGGGGTGCTTGCCATTTTATTGTGCTTGCTCTATTCTTTATACATGCCAATAAAGTTCAACTGTTACCAATCAAAAAAAGGAAGGAATCTAATCTGTTGTTTTAATATGCATAGTAGTTATTTTGTGCTTTGCTTTGTACTCAGAGTATATGTGGCTCCTTAGCTTGAAAGCCTTGCTAGTCTCGTTGAAACTCAGCTGAGTTGACTTGGTTATGTTTTTCTCTGGACTTGTGGGTCACTAATTGAGTCAATTTTTCAATTTAAAGTACTGCATGTCACATTGGTGGAGGCTTGAGATAGCAATTTTATTTGCACTAGTACAAATGCATGGAAGTGCAAATGAAAAAAAATGCAAATTCTCATTTAATTTCGTTTTGGGATTTACTTTATTCTGCTTCATGTCTTAATTTACTTCATTTGTACTGCAATCAAATAAAATAAGCTAAAATTTGAAACAAAAATAGATCAGAATTTATACTCAAATCATTTGCACTGCCATACTCAAATTTATTTGCATTGCAACCAAACACAGCCTTAAGAAATGAGTTTGATTTGATTAATTTCTGATAATCTGATGGCTTCCCATTTTGGACAATTTAACGCAGGTTTTTCTATTTCAAGAGGAATTGGAAGCTATAGCTCTCAGTCAGGCACTAATAGCAGCCATGGGATGGCAAATGGAAGGCTGAAGTCTCAATTGAGCTTTACAAGACAAGATTCTCTTTCTCAAATCTCAGAGGTTGGTGAAAGTGTTGTGGGAGGCTGTAGCTCGGATGATGGTACTGGAAAGGTTGGACACTCTTATGGTTCTGGTACCTTCACAATGGGATCATGGGATGATACCAATTCGATCGTTTTTTCTTCTTCAAGCAAACGAGCCAAAACTATCAATGGTGACATTGTCACCAGTATCAGTGGCATAGACCCTCAGGTATTTCATCTCATGTTCTTGTCCACATAATGGTGTAGTATCAAGGACTGGATTTTGTTGCCATATTTTTATCTGTTTAACATTTGATGATTTGGCTTCTTCTTTGTTTTCAGTTTAGCTTACCCAGGAATATAGAAATGGCCACTGTAGAGAAACTGTTACAGCTTCAACAAGACTCTGTTCCTTGCAAAATCCGTGCTAAGCGTGGTTGTGCCACTCACCCAAGAAGCATTGCTGAGAGGGTCAGTAACACTGCATGTGTTCATAGACATTAATAGTTCTTCATACATCCATTTAAGTTTTCATTACATAAACGTTGAGAGGGAGAGAGCTTATCAATTACATTTCAACTTCACATCGTCATTCACTTGCTCCTGTAAACTAATAACATAGAGTGCAATGCATGCATGAAGCATGTATAACTTACCTATATTTTCCTTTATATGTGTACAGGAGAGGAGGACTAGGATAAGTGAAAAGCTGAAGAAATTGCAAGAACTTGTTCCTAACATGGACAAGGTATGGTATCCATACTGTTTTTTTTTTCTTTAATGAGTATTTTTGAGGAAATGTTGAATATAGAATGGATCTGTGCATAAGGTCCACTTGCATATGTTCAGCTAATTGAGGGTGTTAAGAGTCATCAGTGGAGTTGTATTTAAGATGAGCGGATAAACATGGATTCAGTTTGAAGTTCCATGCGTTTCAGGCATGAAATATACACAGATCAATAACCAATTACTTTTGTAATGAAATAAAGCTGTATAGAGAGGCCATGAACATTTATCAAAAAAAAAAAAAAATAGAGAGGCCATGAACATTTAGTTAGGTGATGCCTTCATTGGCAGGTAGAAGATAAGGTGTTATCCAAAATGGGCTCATATGCTTCCTACATTTGTGATGCCTTCATTATTCTGTATTAAGACAACTCAGTTTGCATAGAAGTCATTTAGTTAGGTGATTTGACCTGACCCAGTTTAAGTACTAGTGGTCTGCAGAATTCAACCTTCTAGGCCAGTCTAGTTTCATCGTTGTTTTTTTTTTTTCATCATGGAACCTTTCAAAAAAAAATGCAAAGACATGATCATTTATAGGTCTTCTATATCACATAAACTTTATTAAATATGGGAGAATTTTATTAATTTGTTATGCAGTATTTTTGCAATCCTATAATATATGTGAATAGGTATACCAGTCAGGTTATTTGGTGAGCTTCCCCAAAAGATATGGAAATCACCCATGTGGTAAATTGGTTTGAAGCTCAAAAGGAGTCTCCCTTGCTCATCTAGCACCCTTTCTTTGTGGAAAATTTAGCAAACAAGACCTTACACATGTTGAAAATAAATTCTCTTTATATGACTTTTATATTGAAAAGTTGAACATATGGACAGCTATTATCAATTGCCTGGACCTCCAATACAAGGTTAGCTGTAGGAATTTTATGGTGGAATCAAACATGTACTATCCAGTAGGTCCTCCATCTGATGGACAGTTTTGGATTAGCCAAGAGATCCCTTAACATTAGGGGTGTTCACTTTAAATGTCAAACCGACAAAACCGGCCCGACCCAACTGAGTTGATCGGTTTTTCAAAACCACCGGTTGGTTTTGGTTTGTGTGAGAAAATAAACTAACAACTCGGTTCGGTTTTCAGTTTTTATACATGAAAACTGAAACCGAAACAACCCTATATGTTTAAGTAATTACTAATTAGTCCCTACTCGGTACTCCTTAGTCCTTCCCTACTCCCTATCATAGTTAACTTTAAATTTAAGTAAAGTTATTTATTACCTTTATTGGTTTATTTATTACCTTTTTGAGTTTAGCAAGCATTGCTGTCAAGGAGTCTTGTAAATTGTAATGGACATACACGTTGAACTGTTGGAGTCTTCACTATTCAGTTTTGGAAAGAGAAAAAAAGAGAGGTTAAATAAAGTTATTTATTACCTTTATTAGTTTATTGATCACCTTTTTGGGTTTAGCAAGCATTGTTGTAAAGGAGTCTTGGAAATTGGAATGGATATACACGTTTTTTTTTTTGATAGATAAAATTCAATTGATTTCATTAGAAGCGAATGATAAATAGTTCGTTACAAGCATTCCAATATGCGGCGCGAGGTGCAGCCTCACTCATTGATACAGAAGTCTCATAAAGTTACAATTGGGCCCAGTAGTACAACTGTTCCGTAGTTACCCCTTGTTTAGCTAGAGAATCAGCAAAGCATTTGCCTCCCTCCCCACCCACTGTATAGTTACCTCCATCTGCTGAGTTAACCATTTGAATTTCTTCAATTCATTTCTGTAAACCCAGATCACTGAATCTGGGTTTTTTAGCCAACCCACCACCACCTTGGAGTCCCCTTCTATCACCAAATTTTCCAATCCTAACTCTCTTGCAATCTGTACACCTTGTAGGGCTGCGTACAATTCTGCCTTTAAGGAGTCTCCATTCCCCATTGGTCCTGAGAAGAGTGCTCTTCAGTTTTGGAAAAGAGAAAAAAAGAGGTTAAATAAATATTTATTAGTTTCAAAAAAGTAACTATTTTAATTGTTATATAAACTCACTAAACCGATAACTGATCCAAACTGACCCTTCATGTTTGGGTCAGTTTCAGGGTCGGTCGGTTTTGGTTTAGTCAATAAGTAGATCGACTAGGTTGGTGTTAGGGACTGCCTAACTCAGGGACTCTTTTGAGGGAGCCCGCCTCCTGAATGAGAGAGAGAGAGAGAGAGAGAGAGAGAGAGAGAGAGAGAAAGAGAGATTGTATTCCCAAATCGATAATCCCCTCCTAGCTTCCTTTCCTTATTTATATACTGCTGTTACAATTCTGTTATACCCGCCTCTCCACTTGTCCAGTTTGTTAGTTAGTTTGTTCTAGWGGTTGGCTGTTGGTTACATTCTTTAAAGGCTGGCATGGCCTTTTCTTGTACACTTGTATTCCCTTTATTTGTGTCTCAACAGTCCCTCCTCCCTTGAAAGCGACCTTGCCCTCAAGGTCAAGATGTGGAAATCTATTCTGTAAATCCAAGTAAGGTTCCSAAGTTGCATCCTCAATTGGGAGACCTGACCATACCACCAATGCCTCTGGTTCGATGCGATTCCCTTTGCGTATCCACCTGAAATCTGTTTCAAATTTACACTATTTTTATTTAATAGCATATATTTGACATAAGTATTTCATGATAAATTTCAATTTTGTTAAATCACATCAAGCCATCAAGGTATTGAAGCTTGGTTGAGATCATCTCATCACTAGGGGTGATTATGGGCTGCCTGGGCCCAACTTGGCTTGGCTTTAGGTCTATGCCATTAAGAAATATGGGCTTCAACACTCATGGTTGTCAATAGATGACAGAAAGGCCTTCATTCTAATAATTGGGCAATATGGGATAATGGCATAATGCTTGTTCATTCAACAACACTCAATAGAGTGTTATCCCACATTGCCTAATATAGTGAAGGATTTGCCTTTTATCTATATAAGGATAGTTAACTCTAGAGAACAAGCTATTTTCTCATACATCAGTTGACTCACGTATCAACTCATGAATATGTATAATATATATTAAAATATTTAGTGTAAAATAAAATAAAACATATTTGTAAATATATTATATTCATATTATGTTAAAATATAATTTATTATATTATGTAATAGATATAATATTTTATAATATAAACATATTATGTATATTATTAAATATATAATATATATTGTGGACTAGATCAGGTGTAGGGCCTGCCCTGAACTTTTGAGGCCTGATGTGGGCTCGGGCCCACCTAGAAACAAAACCTAGACTCAAGCCTGGAAATTTCTGGACTGGGCTGGGCTGGGCTGGAAATTGTCACCCCTATTCATCACATCAAAGTGGAGATATATGCATTTCAGGATGTACTAAATTTACATTGTTAAGAAACAAAGTAATGGGTTTCTTATTAATGTTTGCTTAAAATACAAATGAAGGAAAGTTCTCCAACTTTTAGGTTTGTAAAGGTTTCCCTACCTTTCCCTACCTTTTCCTTCAAACCAAACATAGCCTTATAGGCTTACTTTCTGACAGGAATTCTGTTTTGTAATAAAATGGAACTCTAGAGTAGGCTTTTATTTTCTTTTCTTATGTGAGTGAAATGAATGGATGGAAATGAAGAAAGTTAGTGTTCCGAATTCAAGATAACTAACATTGATTTTGATCTTTCACATTGCAGACATTGATCCCATAACCATGTGATAATATAATGAGATACAATTGCCACACTTATGCAATTTTAACTGAAATTATCAGAATAATGAATAAAGATGTGATATACCTTGTAATATCACCATTCCCATTGTTTCAATGGCTTTTCATTGTCATTGCTTTAGGGCCTTCTTATTGGTAAAATTACTTTATTTTGTATCTTAACTTTGTACCATTTTGATAATAATCACTCTTGTTCTTAACAACCTAAATTCTTGTGTTGTAGCAAACAAATACTGCGGATATGTTGGATTTGGCAGTGCAACATATTAAAGGCCTACAAAATCAAGTCCAGGTATGTAAGCCCTGTTTACTGTAAGAATAATAATTAGGGCACTATAAATGAAATTAGAAAACTCCAGGTATGTAAGCCCTAGACTTGCTAATTCTTTTCTTGGGTTTTAAAAGACATAAAACCATGAATGCCAGTCTACTGGACCCCTTGGTCCCCTTCCAAGACCCCCGTAGTTGGGATCAACACTGGGTAATGGCCTTTTTTCATTCTAAAACCATATACACATGATAATGAAGGTAACAAATCCACAAAATGAATCCAAAATCCATAATGTGATAACTTTTTTATCCATGTTGGAGAAAGTTCAGTTATGTATAACCATATATAATAAGGAACAAATAAACTATCCAGGTTTATGCATTTTTTTTTTGATCAATCAGATTTATGCATTTCATTGTAATGTTTTACTTGAAAAAAATTAATTTTCATCTCATACCTTGCTATTGGAATAGGCCATTAAATTGTATGTTCTACTTACATGTCTTTGGTATTTATCCATAAGCCATGAGATTCATGGTCAATTACCAAAATAGTGTTCTAACCTTGTCCCTTTCTAAAGCAACTTCGTCACATATTGTCTTGTTTCTTAGGTTGTGTTTCAGGATTTGTGATCCCAAAAGCTCAGTTTGGGAAGAATACAAATACAAATATGTCCAGTGTTGGTAAGAGTACAAATACAAATATGTACAGTACAAACTTTGTACTTTATATTTCTAAACCTTGTTTACACTGGACATATATTTGTATTCCTACTCTTCACAAACTGAGACAAAAGTACAAAGTTCCAACTTTAAGCTTTGTGCCTCGGTGTTGGGGCTTAGATGTGTTTTAACGTTAGAAGAAATTATTACCACTGCTCAAAACATTTTTTGGTTCAATTTTTCCCCACAGCCCCAAGTAAAACAATAAAACCTTTTCCAAAAGGAACCTTAATCATTCTGTTTGTTGGCTGTTAAATTGAAAGGTGATTCATTTCATTATAGAAGATTTTTATTGATTTGGCCACAAGTTTTTGTACCTCTACTAAATTGTTGGATGTTATTTTATTTGCAGAAACTCAATAAAGATCTTGAAAATTGCAATTGTGGATGCAAGAAATCAACATAATTTTTTTTGGATATTAGGAAGATTGAAAAATTCTGTCAGATCTAAAGATTACATGGAAGAGGTTAGATGAAGAGGTGTTCAACAAGGTAGGGGACCTGAGCATGACTAATTCCTTAACCTTACCAAGTAAAAAATGGAGTTCTCTGTTTGTATATAAAGAAGCATCGTTTTTTACTTTGGGATTTGAAGGACAGATGTTGCAATTTCTTTCCGCTTTTCAATGGGAAGCATGTAAGAGAGATTTATTGTTCCTCTTTCTCATTTTCTTCTTTCTTTCTAATGAGTTTACTCTTAATTATCTTCTAAATTTTAGTAGTTTTTTTTTTTTTAACTGAAGCAAGGAGAAAATACTATTATTTCTTGAAACAAATAGAGAAATGAATAAAATGCTTAAGAGAGAGTTTGATCGAATTTAGAAAGATGCCAAGAAGCTATAAGAAAGTTCTTAAGGCAGCCATAATTTTCTAACTTTTCTCTACTTAATTGTAGCCTCTGTTTTTAATCTTATATAAATTGAAGATGATTAGGAATTTTTTCTTTGATTTCATTTTTTCTTGAAAGTGCTAATTATCTTCTCAGACGATTGATTTCATAGTAATTTTTAACATATGAAAATAAAACACAGCGGAGGCTGTTTGAGAGTTTATGGCATTATACGTTACCGTGGGTGTGAGGTAAAAGAGTATTCGCAACCAATATTCTTTCGGTCAAAAGCAAGAAATTGACTGGGGTAACGTCATATGCATTAACAAGCCTGAAATTTTCGGGTTGGGTCAAGCGGGATTCAAAGTGATCACCCTTATGACTTGTTCATAGGTCGGGCTCGGGTTTGGTTTTTGCCAAAATTCTAATGGGCCCGGCCTGAAATTCGAGCCCGATACAGTTTAAAGTTGGGTCCGAAGCCCGGCCTGTGAATGGGTGGCATGAAGTTGAAAGTTATATTTGAACATTTAAGTTATTAGAGCCATATGTGTTGAAGCTATATAGGTCTCATTCAACAAATCAAATCGGAAATTAATAGATTGATTTAGCTAATATTTGCATTTGGTCTGCTTGTTTAGATGGTCTAGTTGTCAAGGAAGGTTTTTAAAACCGGACTAGACAGGGAACCATTCTGAGGTCTGGTTCCCGGATTGAATGGTCCGATCGTCCAGTCTGAACAAATAGCCTGCTATGGCAGAAAAATAAAAAAAAAATAAAACAACGGCCAAAAATTATTGTTTGGATCACAGTTTGACCGCTTGGATCAGTAGTTTGCTGACCAAATCATTGGTTCTTGGCCAAAAAGCAGTTTTAGGGTAAAAAAGGAACCGGTCAGGTTTTTTTGGTCCAATTGTCCGGTCCAGTCCAGTTTTGAAACTATGTTGTCAAGTCCAGTCCAGTCTCAAAGATATGTTTCAACATTTAACTTACTCAAATAAGGAAATAAACTAGTAAATTGGAGCCAAGACTCAAGATGCCTCATGTAGCAAATCAAATTGGGTATTAACGGACATGACTTAATTTCAGCAAGTCAAATTCATTTATTGAGACTATGTTTGGTTTGAAGGAAAAGGTAGGAAAAGGTAAAGAAACCTATACAAGATTTGTAAAGATTTCCTTACCTTTCCCTACATTTTCCTTAAAACCAAACATAGCCTAAGTGAATCATATTTTAAAATTAAGTTTTGAACCCACACACCCTTTATCCACAAATCTTAAACATGCTTTTAAACTGCTAAACCATCTTAATTTTTGCGATATAAAGTGAAATATAATAATTTTTATTAACTTTTGTGTTTTTTTATTAGCAATTAACATCAAATTTTATTACTTAGAATAAGAAAAGAGTACAGAACAAAGGCAGCCTTGGCTACCACCAATAAAATACAAAGACAATTTAATATTCAGACAACTGAGCCTAGAAGCAAACTGCCCTATTTACCCCTTGCTTCGCTAGTTGGTTAGACCATTTGCCGACCTAGGAGTCCATTGAATTATCAGCTACATATCCTTTGAGAACCTCTTGAATTGTTTGATTTTGTTTCTGAAAAACCAAGGAGCCTTCTCATTCTGTTTTAGCAAATTTATTACTATTTTGGAGTTACCTTCAACCATTAGCTTTCGTATCCCCATTTCCATAGATTTCTGCATCCCATAAATTACTGCATTCAGTTCTGTTGTTACAAAATCACACTCCAATGGGGCCTGAGTACATATCCACGATCACTCCACTTTCATTTCTTAAAACCCCTATAATTCTAGATGGCCCCGAATTCCCAAAACTACTTCCGTCAAAGTTTAATTTCAGGAATCCTTTAGTGCCTTCTACTTAGTTGAAGTTGAGGCTGCAATTGTTCTCTAGCTCCTTAATATGTCATCAGTAGAGAAAGCTGAAAACAACTCCAATGTCTTTATCCAGAAAGCCACTTTTGCCATAATCCCTTCAATTAATGCTTCTTTGCTCTCTTTCTTTTCCTCAAATATACGCTTATTTCTTTCCTCCCATAAGGTCCAGATTACTACTTCTCTTATACACCTCCACATCAGTCTTCCCCTCCTTTTTGGCCAGCTGAAAGTAAAACCATCAAACAACTTGTCCAAGCTGTCCGAAGTATTCCACCTACACCCAAAAAGAGAGAAAAACAAATCCCAAATACCATAAGCAAATAGATAGGAAATGAAAATGTGAAGAGCAGTAGATTCACCATTAGATTCACACAAGCAGCACCAATTTGGGGAAATGCACCATCCAGGTCTCTTTTTCTGTAGAATATCACAAGTGTTGATTGCACAATGGAAGACCTCCCAACAGAAAGCACTCACTTTAGGGGGAATTGGATGACACCAGATCTCTTTGACTAAAAAGGGAACAACTGGTTGAGAAGGAAAAGACAACGACTTGAAAAAGGAAGCACAACTAAAAATCCCAGAAGGATGTAGAGTCCAAATTCTATCATCTTGTTTACTTAGGTCAAGGAAAACCCCCTTAAGAATGTGTAGTAGGTTTGAAACATAGCCCAACTCAGTGTCCCTCACATTTCTGTGAAAGCCTAGATTCCACCTGAACCCATTAACCGAGGGAGAAGGGAGCAAGAACTCATAAATTGGCTTTCTCTTGAGAGCAGATAGGGTGAACAAGGAAGGGAAAGAATCCTTTAAAGGGACTTTACCCACCCAAAGATCCTTCCAGAATTTGATTTTGTTACCTAAATTAATATCAAGTCTGATGTGATTGAAAAAAATTGGGAGACATTTCTGAATCGCTTTCCAAGGTGAAGAGCAAGAGGCCCTACTAGAAGTTCCAACATCCCACCCATTCTCTGAGAGTCCATAAATACTAGCAATCACTTTATGCCATAACCTATTTGATTCTCTTGAGAATCTCCATAACCACTTTCCCAGAAGAGCCTAGTTCTTTTCTTTCAGCCTCTCTAACCCTAGCCCTCCTTATTCCTTCCTTCTACAAACTATTTCCTATCTAATTAAGTGATCCTTCTTTGTCTCCCCCAGTTCCCACAAGAAATCCCACATAATTTTCTCCAGCTTCTTCACAATCGCCTGAGGCAAGTTAAACACCGATAGGTAATAAACTGGAATGTTAGCTAAGGTAGATTTGATTAAGATTATCCTACCACCCAAAGAAATATAATTCCTCTTCCAAGCCGCTAACTTCTTCTCAAACCTCTCCACTACTGGGCTCTAGAAAGTCAAAGATCTAGGTTTTGCACCTAAAGGAAGTCCTAAGTATTTCATAAGCCAATCATTGGACACCCACATTTGAGTTCCCTTGCTCATAGCTCAATCTCCTCCTATCCCATATTTGCCCCATCCACTACACTTTTTTTGAGATTAACCTTCAGATTTGTCAACTTCTCAAACAAGCTCAATAACATCCTCAGATTCCTAGCCTCTTCCTCACCTTCCCCCCACAAAAAATAATGATGTCATCCGCAAATTGAAGATGAGATACCATCACCCTGTCTCTCCTCACTCTCCACCCTCTTAAAAGACCCACTTCATCTGCTTTTGTGATCAAACTGCTAAACACCTCTGCTACAATAGTGAATAGAAACGGTGAAAGTGGATCCCCCTATCTCACACCTCTTATAGCACCAAAAAAATCTATAACCATCCCATTCATTAAGACTAAAAAGTGATAAGATTTTAGGCATCCTCTAATCCACTTGCACCATCTTGCACCAAAGCCACATTTGCTCAAAGCTTCAATCAAGAGACCCCAATCCACAAAATTGTAGGCTTTCTCCAGACCCAAACTGCAAACAATACCTTTCTTACCAATCTTCTTGAATTCCTCTACACTCATTTACAATGAGCAGTTGATCTAAAATCTGTCTCTTTTTAATAAAGGCTCTTTGATACTGTGAGATAATTGATGGGAGTACCTTTTTAGGCGAATAGAGAGAACCTTGGCTATGATTTTGTATTGGCTTGTCACTAGGCTAATGGGTCTGAAGTCCGTGGGGTGACATGATCTTGATTTCTTAGGAATCAATGCAATAAAAGTAGCATTAACCCCTTTGTCGATAATCCCTCTATGATAGAATTCCTCAAAGACTTTCATTAAATCCTCCTTTAGCCACTCCCAACAATCTTGGTAAAAATCCATGGTGAAGCCATCCGGTCCCGGTGCCTAGGACTTGTCCATTGAGAAAATAGTTGTCTTCACTTCCTCCATCTCAAACCTTTTTTTCTAGTTCTCTACTCAATGTGCTTTCTAAAGTTGGCCATATCAAACCCTCTAGGATCCATCTATTCTCCACTGGCCTTCTATAGATTAGTTTAAAGTGATCCACTAATGCCTTTGCAATGTCATCTTGTTGTGTGATGGTAGCTCAATTTTCCAATTCCAACATAGAGATAAAATTTTTCCTTCTCCTACCATTTGCAATTGCATGAAAAAAAATCTAGTGTTCCCATCACCTTCCTTTATCCACCTTTCTCTTGACTCTTGTTTCCATGATATCTCCTCTCTCAACAGTGTGTCTTCCAACTCTTTTTTCAAATTTGTCCTCTCCTCCTTCTCTTCTATGCCCATTTGTCCTTCTTCCTCCTTTCTATCGATTTCTTCAATCCAACTAATTAAGGTGGAGGATTTTCTTTCTTCAACCCTCCCAAACTGATTAGAGTTCCACTCCTTTAATTTCCTTTCAAATTCTTAAGCTTTTTATGGAACGTAATCCCTTCCCATCTAGCCACAGAGGTGTCCTCCCACCAGTTTCTAACCTTTTGCACAAAACCCGGAACTTTAAACCACATATTTTCAAACCGAAATGGCTTTGGCCCACCCCCATTACCCTCTTGATTGACAAATTGGCCAGTGGTCCGACGTGAGTCTAGGTAATATCCTACCTATCAAATTCCCCCAATGATCCTCCCAGTCTTGTGTCACTAGAAATCTATCTAACTTGGATAGAATAGGGCTTTCCTGATAATTGGTCCAAGTAAATCTGTTCTGCCCTGTCATGATCTCCTTCAGTTCCAAGGATTCTATAGAGTTGTTAAACCTCCTCATACTAGTAGTTAGTTTGTGTCGTGGGTTATTTGATTCATCTTGTGTCTAATCACATTGAAATCACCTCCCACACACCATGACCCTTGCCATAAACCTCTAACAACCACTAATTCTTCTCACATTTCACTCATTTTCCTATAAGGATTTGGCCTATAAACATTTGACATCACCCAAGTGAAATTATCACTTACATTCCTTAGTTTTACTGGCACCAAAAATCTACCTATCAACTCCTCTAAGCATTCCCCCAGAAGCTCCCCAAGATGGAGCCTGAGCCCAGCCTATACCCCTGCCTCCCCAAATACTTCTCACCCATCTCTTGTCAATTCCCTGCACTTTTGATTCTTGTAATAATACCACCTCCGAATTTTCTCTTTTAATCACTTCCTTAATTATTCTTCTTTTATTCGCACTACCCAATCCCCTAACATTCCAACTCATAACCTTCATCTTCATTTCAGATTATTATCCCCCTCTACCTTAACCTTCCTATTTTCTACCTTTTCTCCTAATGCTCTTTTCTCCCATCTCCATGCCCTTCCTTCTGCCATCTTTAATTTTTTCCCACCTGGCTCCTCTTTCTTCTTCCTTTTATTTCACTAACCTCCTCTTCCATGCATTTCAAACAAATAACTTATTTACATAATCAACAATTTCAACTAAAAATTGAAAAGAATAATATTCAAAAAGGTATTTTATAAATTGTTGGAATAAATAATCTATCAAATTCACATTTGCATAAAAAACTAAAAAAATCTATCCAAAAAATTTAATAATAAAATAATTATTTTAGTATTTAAAATTTATAAATTTGCATATAATAAGTATCTTAAATTTTTTTATAAATAATCTATTATTATTTTAATTTAATTAAATAGAAAACATAAATATTATTTAAATAAATAAAAATATCATTTACAAAGTATTCAAGAATATAATATTAAATTGAATATATCACATCCACTAACCTACATTTATATCAGAAAATGATTTTTATTTCAGAAAAAAAATTATACAAATAAAAATACTAATAATGAAATAATTATTTAGTACTTAAAATTATAAATTTGCATATGATATGTATTTTAGAAATTTTAATAAGTTTGATAACACATTTATTGTTTATAAAAATAAAATTATTGTTTACCAAATATTTGGGAATTTAATATTTAGTTGAACTTTTAGTTAATGTTAAAAAGTAAAAATAGCAAAATAAAAATGACTGATATAATAAATAAAATATAGTGGTTGTTTGTGCCTTTGACTTAAATAAGAAATAACAAAATGTCTTGGACTCTTGATTGATGCATTATCATAAAATTGTATGATATCTCTTCATCCCAATCTATTAATTGCAATATATTTCTACATATATACCATTAAAATATGCATTTTGTATGTATTTATACACTATTTGTGACTATTTTAATTAAATTTAATGTTATTAATGCATTTATTGAATTTGTATATTTTTTTCTTAGCATATCCATATTTTTCATATGTATCCATGTGTTTCCAAAGTGCATCGTATCTGTATTGTCCAATATGATACTCGATATTGATGACAAAGCTTTGGGCTTTCGAAGCACAAAAGACCAAAAAACATGTTAGCTGTGGGCTTGATTGTTGTTCGATGTAGGCATTGTAGAATTTTGGTCATCTTTCATTGTTGTTGGTAGAATCCAAAAATAAAAAGAATGTGGGCAGAAGTGGTATTTTGAAAATTTTAATGCATCACATCACTCAAGGGAGGTTTTTATAATCTACCCTTAAAGATAATATTTTGCAGTATATAATATTTTTAATACTCCAAATTCAATTCAAATCCGAAATAATTTGGGCTGTCAACGGGTCGATCTAGGTAGAACCAGTCTTGGAGACCTGGACCAATTAATAACCGGGATAAAATCATTGACCTAGAATCGTCCCAATCAATAGCCAGGTTATCACGGTTATGCTGAAAATTATATTTGCTTATTTAAGTGATAACTTAAAATTTAAATTTTGATAATATAACCTTAATAAAGATGATAGAAAAATACTAAGTTATTTGTGCATTAATAAATTAAACATGTTTAATTAGGATTATATTTTTTTATATATTTAATAAAATAATCGGTTCAAGACAAACAATAACTGAAAGTGGCCCAACTATTAATTGGGATAAAATCATGGAATCAGAATTGTTATAATCGGTTCAGCCGGTTTGGATCAATCGGGTAGATCCAACCTATTGACAACCCTATTATAATCTAATGGGTAAGAATCGATTTAGTATTCGAATATCGAATCGAATCTAATCCAACTTTTTATGTACTGCGAAAGAAGCGGAATGAGTTGCTTCTGTGAGGCCTTCTCCTTCAGGCTTCAGCAAATGGTATTTGTGCATTAACATCCTTCGCACGCTCTGAGAGGGAGTATTTTCGACATTTCACATGCCCTCTCACACTTTTTTTGGGGGTATTCTGGTTGGCCACTTATACCCCCTTTTCTCTTCTATGCCTCTCCGAAAAACTTTACAAACTTTAGTTGTTGGGGTCAACTGCATATGTTGTTGAGAGAATTTCTGGAAATGTCACCTTATCATGAGAATGGGTAAATTAGTAATTATATCTTTATTTATTTTGACTAAAAATCAAAGTGTGGGCGTGAATAGGTGAACTGCCCAGAACATGCCCAGCCTAGAAACTGTCTCAATAGCCTATGTTGTTGGGCCCTAACAGCCAAAGTTAACCCATGCCTCTTCTTCCCTCTCTCCTCTCAAATCCTATCCCTTCAACGGTTGCGCCAGTTGCGTCGTTCCTTGTTCCAACGTCCACCAACGACGAGCTCTCTGCCTCCACCCTCCCCTGTTTTACCATCCACCAGCCACAGTCGCACCGTTGGTACACATTCCTTCCCTCTCTCTCGATTTGTATTCTACCCCCTTTTTTTCCTGATTCATTTTGAAAATTTGAAGGAAAATAATTGGTAAAATAGTCCTTTTTGTCTTTCCCTTAATGGCACTAATGGCAAGGAGGTTTTAGACAATAGTCAAAAAACTTAGGGGCACTCTAAGATAATATGTAAGCAATAAGGATAGAGTTAGTCAATTAGCTAAACCATAAGGGTAGTTTAAGAAATTTGCCTTTACTTTTAAGGGTAAATTGCATATTAGTACCATGCACTTTGAGCCTAATCTCACTTTGATACTTGAATTTCAAAACATGATAATCCAATACCTAAACTCTCAAAACATCCCAATTTAATCCAAAATCATTAATCACTGTTAAGTAGCATGTGAAAAGATGCAAATGCCCTTGGGGTGTCATTTAATTTTCTTTATCAACCACCCAAATGTCTTTTGGGCCGTTCACCATTGCTTTGGTTCAATCTTGATTCTTGAGGAAGAAGATGATTAATAGAAAATTACTTAAAAATAATAATAAATCAATACAAATTAATAAAGAAATTTCAAAAAAAATTATAAAAAATTAACATATAAGAAAAATACAAATTTATCTAAAACACAACTTAAACCGTAATTGGATAGACTAAACAACCCAAAAAATAATACTTGAATTGAACTTATAAATAAAGCCCATGCATTTGGTAGGTCCTATGATAGAGTGGATTGGAATTTTTGAACTTATAAATAAAGCCCATGCATTTGGTAGGTCCTATGATAGAGTGGATTGGAATTTTCTTCTCCACTGCATGAGCTTACTGGGCTTCTCAGTTGAATTTTGTTCCTTGGTTAAAGGTTATATGGCCTCTCAAAGCAGGAGAGTGATTATTAATGGATGCCCCATCCAGCCGTTTGAGCTGCTGATCTTTGGAGAAGCTAATATGGGTGAGGTATATCATCTGAAAAAATATTCTTGATAAATTTTGCATGTGGTCCGGACAGGTGATCAATTATAATAAGTCAGCAATTTATTTCAGCAAATGTAAATCTACTCCTTTGGACCTGAGAAATTCTATTATTCAATGTTTGTGAGTAGCTGAGCTTAACCCTGGTGATTTTTACCTTGGAAGCCCACTTTTAGGTGCCGCGAGAAAACTTTCGTCGTGGAAGTTCATCATTGAGAAGGTTAGAATTAGATACTTAAATCTAAGCTTAAAGGTTGGAACAGGGATCTTATCTCACGCAGGAAGGGGAACTCTCATTAAATCCACCATATGGCGGGTTTCAGCATCCCCTCGGCCATATATGCAAGGAGCTTAACTCCATTTATAGGGATTCTTGGTGGGGTAAAACCCAGTCAAAGAATCCTATTTAACTCCATTTATTGAGATTGCAACGGCTTGAAAAATTGACAATTTCATTATTGAGATTGATGCAATGAATATTATTTGCAACAGTTAATTGATAATTATTTGCCAGTTAATTGCTTCATAATGCAGAAATGCAGACAAAACTCCTTACCATAAATATAATATTGACAATGTACGCAAAACTCTAATAGAAATTTAGCAAAGAAGGTAGGGTGAGAGAGAGATAAAAGGAAACCAAATTATATTGACATTGATCAACATTAGTAGAGTTTAACACCCCAAGTGCTATGGCAGATGATATGCTCGAGGAATGAACGAACTTATTTTATTCTAAACCTGATATTCTCATATTCCGCAGCCGCTACAATACAGTGCTCATCCTAAGCTGCTTTAACAAACCCTGACAAACAACAGCACTAAAGACAAGACAGACACACGCAACCGAAAGCGAAAGCAGCAAGAAAAATGGCCTCAGTTTGCGTCGTTAAGAGCAAGAACTCCAGGAAGCGACTTGCCCTCGAGAAGCTCCAAGCTAGCACCACCTCCTGTTGAGATGTGGCTCATCTTGTCAGCAAGGCCTACTTTCTCCACTGCAGCAACAGAGTCTCCACCTCCTATTATTGTAGTCACACCCTTTCCACTCAGTTCTGCCAACTTCTTTGCAATTGCCTGCAAAACAAATTAATTGATGTTCCTATGTTATGTTATATCATCCGGTAAAATCTCAAACTACAATGGGTGGGATTTTTGACTGTGGGCCTGTGGCAACTTTGTGCTAAAAATGTCACAGCATGGTTTGTCAAGGTGTCTTAGGCTTGGAATTCCAATGGGTGGACAGACCTACCAGGCCCCAAAGAAACCAACCTAATTAAATTATGTTCTAGGCCTGCACCATGTGCCCCCGACTATAATTAGATGGGGATCAGTTTTGGTTGCTCCAAACCGATTAAGAACCATATAATTATGGAAGTACCATACCACCCCTAATTCATCAACCATTTTTCTGAACATTTTTTTACTTCATGGGGCTACGGATGGGTGGACAGACCTACCAGGCCCCAAAGAAACCAACCTAATTAAATTATGTTCTAGGCCTGCACCATGTGCCCCCGATTATAATTAGATGGAGATCAGTTTTGGTTGCTCCAAACCGATTAAGAACCATATAATTATGGAAGTACCATACCACCCCTAATTCATCAACCATTTTTCTGAACATTTTTTTACTTCATGGGGCTACGGGATAACCCATCCCCATCCCCCCCTTAACCCCCAAACCCTGGTGGCAGCAAGATTTGATCCCAGGTCTCCGCAACAACAATTCAGAGATCCAACCATTTGAGCCACTCTCTCTCTTTCACCATGAAGAAATACCTATTTTTCATAATATATGCTTGCAATATCAACATGTTTTTTGATAGACAATGTTATCATATATTCTAACGTTTAAATGTGTTAGATTTAACAAATAAGTAGATTTGTTGTCAGCTTACAAGTTGAAAAGCATGACTATCAGTTATGATGGGTCACATCGAGTCAAACCCAAAAGTTCCGATTACAAACCATACAGGGTTTGGTTTGGAATTGTTTTTGCACATTTGCTTATCTGATCAGGACAGGTCTGCCCTGACCTGGACAAGACCCAACCCATTGACAGCCCTCTATTCAACTCCGCAATAGTTTGATGGACTTACCTCTGTTCCCACGGCAAACTTGTCAAATTCGAACACTCCCATGGGTCCATTCCAAATGATTGTCTTGGTGGTATCCAAAGATTCATTGAATGTCTTGATGGAGTCTGGTCCAATATCCAAACCCATCCAACCATCAGGAATACTAGATGCTGGAACAACCTGCACCAACAATATGCACCATTTTTGCTAATTACATCCATCCTTAAGCAACAATTGGCATGGTTTCAAATAAACAAAACATCTCCCATTTGTTCGTAGAAACTCAAATCATTGGTTCTATGATCAAGCAATTAAATTAGTGGCATAAATGAATTAATTCTTTGGGACAGGAATTGACAACCACAAACAATGAAGTGAAAAACACAAACCGGCATATGCATGATATGCATACTTGGTTGGAGACACAGAGAGGTTTCTCCATACAATTCACTTAAATGAAGCACCAGTATAATAGTCATGAATGAACCGACAAAAATTCAAGTTTTCCCAATCTCACAAAGATGCATTCAAACTAACCGATGTCCATGGATTAGGATTAATTAAAAGTCAAGGCACAAACCTGGCTGTTTGCATCGGCAGCAAACTTGTCAGCAATTACTACATCAGTGGGCAGCAAAAGAGATACCCCTTTGGACTTGGCCTTCTCAAGAAGTGATGTTGCAAGGTCAAGTTTGTCTTCTTCTACGAGGGATGATCCAACAGAGTATCCCTGGGCCTTGTAGAAGGTAAAGATCATTCCACCTCCCAGTAAGAGGATGTCTACCTTCTCCAACAGAGACTCAATAACCCCAATCTTTGTTGATACTTTTGAGCCACCAATAATAGCAGCAAATGGCTTTTTAGGGTTTGCAACAGCACCAACAAGATAGTCGAGTTCCTGAAAAAATAGAAAAAAAAAAAATCAAGATGTCGTCTTGTGAATTAAGATGCACCAAGTTGGATAGGGCACTAAACATAACAGAATGGAAAAAAAAAAATAGGATTCTTGTAGCCAACCCCATATGATAGGGACACGGCTTAGATGATGATGATTAAACCTGTTCACGGACCTGGTTTCAAGCTTAGCCCATGGACATTTTACACTACCATGGGCACAGGATCGGGCCCATTCAAAAGCCTGGCAATCTAAGCCAGATCCCAACACACGAACAGGTTCAATGATGATGCAACAAAGAGTCCGAACAGTTCTGCAGCCTTAGGATGATGCTAATTTTTACATGAAAAAAATCTAGTTAATAGAAAGCAATGTTTTGTGAACAAAGAAAATATTTCTGATCAATCAGGTTGCTCTCAGACAGACTACACCGCAACCACGTTGACCACCTGAAGATATAAAAAAAAAGAACCCAAGATCTTTGTGAAGATAACTGTTTGAACAACTTGGACCATATAACTTCTTTGTTGGGCTGAAGTAAATTCTCTTAAGACAATCTGGATCCACAAGCACACAAAGTGGCAGCAGGAGTCGTCCATCTTCCCAGAAATGCTGGTCTAGTAGATTCTTTAGCCAGGGCAGGGATGGCAAAAAAACTAGCTGGAATGGGGTTTCACAGGGCAGGGTTGTAATTTGTAATTTGTGTTTTGCTTTTTCCTTGTAATTCTGTATTTAGAACTTGTAATAGGAGCTGTGCTTGTATCTTTGATAGCATGTTTATAGCTGATTAAGCCTGTTGCTATCTTTGAGAAGTGCGGGCAGTTTTCTTCAATGAAATTTTACTGCTGTTTATCAAAAAAATTATTATTGTGGACTTGCTTTTTTTATACCTTTAAAAGGAAGATGCATAAAGCATCTTCAGCCAGAATTGTCATACCTTCTGCATAAGGAAACCGGCAACAGATGGTTTCAGGAACTTTGTAACCCCTTCTGTGGAAGCATGTGCTCTGTGCGCTGTGCCAAATGCATCATTCACATACAGGTCAGCAAGAGAAGCTAGCTTCTTCGCAAACTCAGGGTCGTTCTTCTCTTCCTCCTTGTAAAACCTAACATTCTCAAGGAGTAGAACACCTCCTTCTGGGATTGCAGCCACCAGCTTCTCGACTTCCTCACCGATACAGTCATTGGCCATCTCAACCTATTAAAAGCATATGCATGAAGTAAGCAAGAGGAACCTTGTCCAAGATAGAACATGCAAGGCAACATGATTGAAGCATACCTGGATTCCAAGGAGCTCAGATAGCCTGGGCACAAGAGGCTTCAAACTGTACTTGGGTGTGACTCCCTTGGGGCGTCCCTAATAAAAATAGACCGTATAATTGATTTTAGTCTGGTTTGCATCCAAAAAGAACCAGTAATAACTCATCCATAATTCCATATACAAGTTAAAGGAGAAAGCAATGGGAACACTAATAGAATCTGGTAATTGAACATATCAGACGCCATCAGAAAATAGGAAATCAGAGCCATCAATTTCGCATATTATAAGCAATCACAGATTCATCAGAGTTAAGGATAAAATCACGAACAATAACAACAACAACCACCAAGAAATAAAAAATACATCAGCTTCAACAAGCAAAAGTCAATTGGTAACACCGCCGCCCCCATTTACTGTTCTACCATAATGAAATAGAAACTAAAGTAAGACCTAATAATTAACAGTGGCGTCGCATGCAACCTAGATAGATGGAAGGAAAGAAACCAAGAGGCTGATCTACATCAGGCTAGTCCAAACCCCACAAAATTTAAATAACAAAATCACATGACTAAGATGTCATGGAAAATTAAAAAAATAATAATAATAATAATAATAAAAGAAAATCTTCTTATGGCAAACATTGGATAAAACAAACAACAGAGTCGATCCGAACAAACATAGATCAATTGAAAATGAAAAAAAAAATGAGATCATTTTAAACCAAAAAAAATAAAAACTTTCTTTTACAACTGAACCAAAGCAGCATACAACCCATACCAATAGCATTAATAGAATAAGGCCGTGGAAAAGAAGCAAAAAAAATATATATATGTATCATTTTAAATAAAAGGAAGAAAAAGGGAAAAGTAATAAACCACGGAGAAAGGGCTTACCAGATGGCTTGAGAGGATAACCTTGGCTTTATGACCCATCAAATACTTGATGGTAGGAACAGCAGCCCTGACCCTAGTATCATCTGTGATCTTGAGGTTTTCATCCAAAGGAACATTCAGATCTACCCTAACGAAAACCTTCTTCCCCTTCAAATCAGCCTCCTTGAGATCACCAACACTCCTCTTAGTTGCCATTACCGACCCAAAAACGGTGCAACAGAAGATCGAGATAGAACCCACAGAGACAGGTCGTAGATCAATAGATCTGTCGAACTTACAAGACGAAGGCGGTGGAGAATTTTCACACAACGGAGTAGTGACCGAAACAAAGGTGGTTTAAGGCTTAAATAGAGAAAGAAATGTCTTTAAAGAGGACATTCAGGGTCGGATTTCCACTAGATATCTAACAGAAGCACGAGAACCGGCCCGGCTAAACCAATTCGATTCCAGTGCTGCTGCAACCTGCAAAATTCATGAATCGGATTTGCCGCAAATAGACCCGAACCCGATTAAAAAGACCGGACCCACTGACTTCTCTAATCTCTCTAATCTGTTTTGATTTTTCGTTTCCGAATAATGAGAAAACTTCGGGTGTCCATCCACTTCCGGTGGCCGGTGGGTGTGGGTGCGTGATTTTCTACAGCCACGTAGCGTTAAACAAAACATCCCACCGAGGACCGAGCTCTCGCACGACGCATGCTTGCTTTCGTACTTTCCCATATTTGTCTGCTTCTCCGTCCGTCCATAGTTTTCGCGATTGATGGAGTCAAATCAAATGTCTAAACGGTGGGTGAACCGTGAACGTTACGTGGGTTCGGTGTGTGGTTTTGGTACATTTGGACGTTTGGCTTAATTGCATATTAATAGAATGGTATTCTCGCTTTAATGCTCTGATTTCAAAAACCTGTTACTCCAATTCTCTCCAATACGCATTTCAAAAACAGAAGAAAAATACTCTCGAAGACTGGGTTTGATCTAGAATCGTTAATATATATATCTTGAAGTTTTGAATACTTTGTAAACGGAGCTCATATCCACTCTCAATCGGGGTTGGGTATTATTCTGAGGAATAAGAGTATCAATGGACTGGTTTTGGATTGGATCTCGTCCGGTTCAAAATCAATTTAGATAGATTGTACAGACCAACAAGATATATTGGATTGAATTAATTTAGTCTAAAATATTTATTAGATTGGATTGAATCTAATCCATTCGAAATAAATTTATATTGGATTTGTTAGTGAAGGGGTATTTTAGTCTTTGTACCTGTTGAGAGTGTTGATGTGTTTTATTATGTTAGTTCGAGTGCCTCTTACTTAAAATGTATTTTCCAATTACATTAATAATATAATAACAGGTCTGGCCAAAATTAGGGTTGACTTTTCCTATTTTCGAACCAGACCTTTTCTCTTCTCCTTCCTCTTTCTTCCTTCTTCTTTCCTCTCTTCCTTCTTGCTATTTACTTTACTTTTCAACTAACAAACAAAACAGACTTCTAGGGCAGGCCGAACTTTAACATGGTATCAGAGCAACATTAAACAAATCAGACCTGTTAGAATTCTGTTTTATGTGCATTCGAACTAGGGTTTCTCTTGGATTTCTCAATCGTTGGTTGGAGACTGGGAAAAGGGCTGAAAAGGAGTGATCGCCCTCTTCCCTTGGAGGTTTCTATGCCTCTGGTGGTGTCGTTGGTGATTAGTTGTTGTGGTTTCTAAGCCCTCCCCTAATTAATGTAGGACTGGTGCATGTGGTGCAGTGGTGTTTCATTCCTTCGTGTGGTTGGTCTTCAGGCGATGAGGTAAGGAGTTTTTTATGCATATTTTCTATTATGGAACACATGAGAGGTGTGGTACAGATCGTATGATGGGTTTTCAGATTGCAATATGCTAGGGTTTATGCTGGTTTGTGTGTGATTCGAAGGGAAGTAGTGTTTATTTAATGGTGAAACTTCTAATAGCCGTAGAGTAGGGTTTGTGGTGTTACAAGTACGGCTTTCAGCCTTTGTTATTGCTGAAATCAGTGTGTAGATTTCGGTGAAGTGTCTGTGTGYAGTGTGCAGTGTGTAGTGCTCCGGATTCAATGATAAGGGAATTTGGCAATGGCAAATAACAATGATAGTAAACCTAGTGTGATGATATCTACTGTCTACCTGAATGTCCAAATGACCTCCATTAAATTGAATGGATAGAATTATGTCCCTTGGGCGATATAAGATAAGAATATATGTGTTAATGAACCAGGTTTGGATTGGAACCAATCTAAATCAAAATGAATTTGAATAGATTGGATGGTCCGGACATTGAATTGAACCGGTCCAAAATATTCATTGGATTGATTGGATTGGACATGGCCTATTTATAATGGACTCACATTAGACTGGATTGGATTAATTTGACCAAATCCAATCCAATTGACACCACTACTGAGGAACCTTAATGGTGATTTCTTATTCGGCTATTTGACCCAGATATCTCAGAGGCTCGAGCATTCCGAAAAGGTATTCAAATGCCCAAAAATTTAAAACTTTCTCATGTTTGGGTCGAAGGTGATGCTCAAAAGATAGTATATTCCCAGTTGGACATCCCTTGGTGGTTGTTCCTCATTATTTCTGATTGCAGGGATATTTTGAAGGAATTTCAGGCTACTATTGTAACTTTTAGGCCTGGTACAGGCAATAGAACTGCACACGCTTGTAATACTTTTTAGGACCTTAACTTGGTCTAACCTGCTTGTATTGCTTGATAATATGAATGAATGGTTTGCCTATGGGTTTTCTAAAAAAAATTGAATAGGCAAGAGAAATAACTTTTGAAATGGTCAAAATAGCCCAATTTATTAGGCACACTCCATGCCCTAACCATTCTCTTGAAGAAGTAGTGGTTTGTTTTTGTTGCCATATTAAACCAAAAATCATCACCAAAAAAGAGTTGAAGAGAATGTCATTACCATTGACAATAGAGGGGTTCTCTACTAATTTGTGGTGACAATGGTTTTGGCTCTGAAGTTGAGAAGGAATAGGAAAAGGTAGTAAAAAGAGATTAGGGTTTCAAAACTAAAGAAAATGCAAAAATGGAATGCAAAAGGATCCCCTTTAAAGGAAGGGCCTCTATTTATAGCTGAAGGGCAATGCCTATACATACATAGAATGAAGATTTCCAAAACTTTCCTAAGGTTATTAAACATAAATATCTATGTTGACCCTATGTATTTTGATGATAACAAATTCGTTGAGAAAAATACTAGTGGTGTAATTAAGTAAGCAATAATCTTTATTAAGCTTCTTTGTGCCAAAAATGTATTAAAACAAGAATGCTACATGCTACAAAGATGAAGAAGTAGAAGCTTTGCTAATATGGCTACCTATGCTTCATGATCTCTACACTGTTACCACATTTCTTTAATTGAGGAAGCTCCAAGCAATGCAAGCATATCGAGGTTAGTTAACAACTTATGATTTTAGAGTTGGTCAAAGGACATCTGCTACAACATCTCATTGAGGAGAAGACTACCTCAAGTTGTGCTCAAATTGTATTTATCTTTTAAGAATCTTGATGTACAATTGCATGATGCACTCTCTAGATGCTCAACAAACTGAACCTAGTATAATCAACCTTTGAGACCAATAGCTTAAATAGTTTGATTCCTAAGCTTCCTAAACTTAAATAAGAGATTGCATTCAAAAATTACATTTTGAAAGCCAGTGAAAGAGATTCCAAACCTCTTCATAAAAATTTCCAAGGTTTCCAAGTGTTAGGCAAGATTACTCAAGCTTTATAAAGTAGTTGACTACTCATAAATGTATAATCAACTAATTGTGATAGTCGAGTCATAAAATGGTAGGACTATAAAATATAGTCAACTACCCCAAAAGGCATAGTCGAATAATTGTGACTACAAAAACATGAATATGCCCTGTCTCAGAATATTAGTCAACTAACCAAAATAGCATAGTCAACTAACCCAAACAAATTAAGTTCAAAGTGATATTAATCAACTTATATAAAGGAACCAATTGACTGGGAGAGAGAGAGAGAGAAAGATTCATCCCTTTGACAAGTAGCCAACTAGCACTTTTGACAGTCAACAACTTCAAAGAAATTTGACCATTTGAAGGCTTCAATGGCTATTGCCATATATAGAAAGCCTTATAACATGTTGGAAGAAATTTGAATTATTTCTAAGAAAGGAAAGTTCCTTATAATGACTAAAAATCAACCATTTGTTTTCAACTTGTGAAAAACAATTTGTTTAAAAAACAAGCGAGAAATTGGATCAAGGCATATAAAAACAACTTGTACTTTTCTTGCGTACAATGTATATAGTTGTTTTTCAGGAGAACAAACTAGTTAGAATCATTTTTGTTGAAGAGATTCTTGAGCTTCAATAAAGTTAGAGGTGAGCAAAGTTAAGAAGTTTTTAAGCTTGTAAAATCTCAGCTATCTGTTAAAAGTCTCTTTATTGAGTTGAGCATCTATTAAGAAACTTTAGCAGCTAAGTAGTTTGAGATTGCATTGATATATCTATCTATTTAGAGGTCTCTCTTGCTATAAACTCGCTACTAAGTTAGAAAAACAATATTTGTAAGTAGGAAGGTGTGTAAAATTTTTTGTACACTATTAAGATCTTGTTGGCACTTCTATTAAGCCCAACTACAAGGTCTTGCAAGCACCTGAAAGTCCTATTAGTTTAGGTTGTGTTAGCACCCATGAAATCCAACTGGCTCAAGTCTTGCAGGCACCTATAAAGTCCTAATGGTCGTTAAAAAGCTTCGCTAGCTCTTGGGAAGTCCAACTAGTTAGTGGAATCCTTAGTGGTCATTTGAGGTGAAGGACATAGGTAGGGTTAGTTGAACATCTATAAAATCTTGTGTGACTTTGTACGTTTGTTTCTTTTCTCCAAGTTTTGTATTTTTTTTTCTTTACTAACTTCATCTCATAGCTACAATAACTTGAATCCTTGTAATCTTACAAACATTGCTTTTATTATGTTTCTTTTTCTTTAATATCTACAAGATACAATGTCACTGCAATTACTGAGGTATGAATATTACTAACCCTACTAACTAAACTAACTTTACATTTTATTAACTTTCATTGCATATTTATTAGGGAAAATTTCTTAAACTACCCATATTGTTTAACTAATTGACAAATTGTACCCTTACTGCTTAACTATTGTCTTAAAGTACCCTCAAGTTTTCTGACAATTGACTAATTACTCCCCTATCATTAGGATTCTATCACAATTTGATCACATGCCACACCACGTGACTGTTATATTTTGGAAAATGACAATAATACCCTTTTCGTATGGAGAGCGGAGAAACAACTCTCTCAGACAA